ATAATAGCCGTTATTTGAAACTCGCCTTCGGTGAGATACTCAGACTTAAATTTAGAGTCAGATGCGAGTTTCTCAGCTGAATCATGCGATTACACATATGATGCCTCACACATTACACACAATTCAAATAAGGAAGATCTAAGGTAAATGTACCAATGCCCGGACATGTACCAATCTCCGGACATTGTTATTATTTTTATATTTGAATATGAATATTTCAACTTTCAACGTACAATACATACAATACAATACATACAATTTAATATTTATATTTAGTGTACGTTGAAAGATGAAATATTTGGAGAAATATTCAAAATAATAAGAGTGTTCGGAATTAGGTACATGTCCGGGCATTGGGACATTTACCTTAACTCCAAATTTATATTTAAGTATCTCACATGGGGCAAGTTTCAAGTGAGATACTTAGATTTGAGTTTAGAGTTAAATGAGAGTTTTTCAGTTGAATCGCGATTGTAGATATAATGTTATATGTATCGTATAATTCAACTGATAGAACGTATAATTCACTTGGATCTAAGTGAAAGTCTGAGTATGTCATGTGAAACAAACTTCAAGTAACTGTTGATACAGGTCGTAGACTCTTCTTATCGAGATAACTCTCCGAGGAGAGAATCTTCAATTATTTCTGTCTCCCTATTGCGTCACACGACAGCTGTTATATTCACATGTATGAATACGTAAGTGTGTACAGAGAAGAAAGTATAAGCTGTAGTATCAACGAGATTGGTCAACAGCACTGTAATTGGAATAGATCTTGACTCGACGGCGATATTGACACTCACGCAAAAAAAATCGCGCATTTAACATTGCTATATTGAATCAAGAATGTTTTGCTGCGGTTACGACTTGACCAATTTTTCGGCTCAGCAGCATTAACGTATCCCGTGTGTATATTTTTACACTAAATCAACAAACGAATTCATCGTTCATTTATTGATAAACAACTGTGTGTATTAACTAATTAATCGACGCGCGTTTAATGATTAACAGGAAATATATTAATTATCGTTTATTTAATAATTATATATTCATCAGTGTGCGATAAAATAATTGATGTATTTCTTCGATTAAGCGGGTGCAGCACCGCCGCGTAATTTTTGAAAAATATTACTATTTTTCAAAAATATATCTATATATAAATCTTTCCTGCTCCCCCTCCTCCTTCCTTCCACGCCTACGATATGTAATAACGTGGATAAAACTGTCGACTCGACAGTCAGCCAGGTTAGGATCGCAGCTTGACGATAAATGTGCTAGGAGAACAAGACGCATGCCGGAAACGAGCGGGTCGATGCGACGTAACGTGCATGTAAGTGCGCGCGCGCTCGCGCGTTGTATTAATTAGATCCAACGTCCGATCGGAATTGACTTAATCGACAGCAGGTGCATCGATCAAGGATAATGTTCCGGGAACGACATGCCTACACATACGTACGGCGCCGCGACGTTGAGTCCTTAATCAAGCAGCTGATAGGAACGAGGAGCGATATGTTGTAAATTACACGCGACGGTCATTAAATAGAATAATGCGGTGCGTGTCAATTATAGAGGCAGATGGAACTACGCAATTATTATTATTATTATTAGCATTAGTCGTGTGAGGACATGTAACTACGCGCGAAAGAACAAATTGGTGGGCGCTCCTTTCGAAGGACGAGCGGACGCACGGCGGTGTTACGACGAGAGATAGCGTTAAGTCCGCGTTTTTTCTCCATCGAGAAAAAAAAACAGATATCGTTACGTTGCGAGAGAAAGGCAAGGTGAGTTGCAAAACCGATTATTTCTGTTATTTTCTAACAAATAAAAGAATTAAGTAAGCAAAATTTCTATATCAAATCTAGTATCAAAAATGACTTTGAAATCCCTTGCTTGATTCTGAAATTTGTCAAAGAACAGTAGAAATAATCGATTTTGCCAACTTACCCCGATCTCCCCTAAAGGTAGATCTTTCGATTTCAATCCTTGCATTTTGTGATGATCTGAAAAAAGAGCGGCCGAACTCTCATCAAGCTTTTAGCCCCATTTTGTATGGTATTCAAAGTCCTAAATTATTTTTTGTAAATTATAGCTATATATTGATGATTAAAGATATATAAGTATCAAAGTGATGTACATCTCACAATTTGGGAGAAAATGGTCCAAAAAGATACGTATTCTGTCAAAATATAATATTGTTACGATTTTTGTAGGAAACGTATCGGAGACGTTGCAAGAAACTGGAATGCCGCAAAATGGAACTCAATTTGGCTGCACTCTTTGTCCCTTAATTTTACACACAGGAAAATTCATATTGCGCTCGATTAAATGCCACTTGTTTCAAGTGTTTCCTAAATTTACATATCCGCAAACCTATTATAAGTTCATCATAAATATTAAATTTATATACAAAATGCAGTCTGAATTCTAGTGAGTTTAGTATTTCGATCAACAAATATTCAATTAAAAAAAGAATTCGATTTGCTTGCTATATAAAGTCTCGCGAAGCTATCTTTTTTTGATAAAGTTTTATAATATTCTTGTAAAGAGAATAAAGTTTTCTTTTAAGTACACGACAAAATGCGCTCTTCTAAAATTTGTGATAAATATACATTTTTAAGATACTATTATCAAGACAATATTCTTTGTTGAAGATAAGTATTGCTTGAAGGAAAGAAAACTTAGTAATCGCTTTTCTTATCAGCAGACTGTTTTTCGGTGTTTCAATATATTGTGAGAGAAAAAATATTTAAAAAATAAGAGATATTCGTTCGATGGACATTAATAACACTTATTTACTTATATTGACATAAAATATTTTTTTCACTTAAGAAAATATACATTTTCTTAAAAAGCTTAGCTTCTTATGAAAAAAAGTGTTAATTCTATTTAAATAAAGGAATTTGAATCTAAGTAATTATATTACTAGTATCTACACCGAATAAATATTTTTCATTTTTTGGATATTTTGTTTCTCAGTGTATGTAATTCAATTGGTATTATATACACTGAGAGAAAGACCTTCTAGAAATTAATAAATATTTATTTGGTGAGTACTAACTTACGCATGCGGGAAAATTTCGAAAGTTAAGAAGAATAAATTAAAGTTGATGCATTAATCACCGATCGGTGGAAATGACAGTCGGCTAATCGGTTGACGCACTGGCGTACACCACGCGATCGTCCGTGAGCGAAGAGACTTCGCAGAGACCAACGGAATTTCGACGGAAACGCGAAAGCTCGCCGGAAACGCGAGGACTTCGTACGACGTGTCGCACCTGTGACGTCGCAACGTATTATTACCGCGGCATTGTGTTACATACGTTGTTACGAGTCGAGAGGAAGGCGAAGGTGGCCGTTAATACGGCATTCGAGTCATACTTTACGAACTACGATGCGTGACAGGAAGCTGCGGCGCTCATTATACGAGTCCTTTTCCTGCCTTCTCACCGCCGCGAGATAAATTACTCGACGGGGATTAATCCGACGAAGTGATCAATCGCGGCAACGATTACTACCCATTAACAAACACACGTTGTTGAAGCTTTCAATACGCGGCCGACTATCCTACCCTTGCCCGTCGTTGTATGCCAATCCGCAAAAAAAAAAAAAAACGAATAAAAATTGTGTCTCAATGTGTTTAACAGCGTTTGAAACGTGTCTCTCCTCTCAAATATATGCGTACAGATAATTAACCCCCTAATATAAATTGAATTAATAATTATTAATTAAAATAAATATGGTAAATTAATAATTATTAATTAATAATTAATAATTTAATATCTCAGAATAATCAGTCAGCAACAAATACAAGAAGCTAGAAAATTTGCGCATCAGAAGAATCTCAAGTAGTCAAATCCACTAGAATAGTGAATTCTTATGTATTAAATTTCTTTCCACCTTCTTTTGAGAAGGTAATTTCTTAATATATAAACTGCGCGCACACGATGCGAGTTAATCCTTTATGTACTTTGCACGACATTGACAATTCGCTCAAAAAATATTCCGTTAAAGAAAATGAAAAAAAAAGTTCATTCCACAGACGATTTTGGTGTGTAATATTCAAATTGAGCACGACAATTTTATTATTATTAGTAACGGTATGTGAGCGGTAGAATGTCGAAACTTTCAAATGCAGACTAGCACTTGAAAGCGCAAAATGTGCACAAACAGAAATTCCTACATGTTTCCTATGTTTTAATATTCGCTCCGGATTACCCGGATAATTCGCGTTACTCGCGAAAATCAATGCGATTTCTACGCTACTGCATGCACTATTGATAATGGTATCATTGTGTTGTCTGACTCACCGTTGCGCGTCGCAATGGCCTATCTCCTGTCTCATGGCATTCTGGACCACATCCTTCCAGTTTCCTTGGTATCCAGCGCTCACAGCAGTCGACAGCACTTCACTCGCGGAACTTTAACGATGTTTAACGATTCAACGTTAGTCCGACAACTTTAGATGTGCGCGATATTTTAAGACGTGCCGGCAAACCGCGACTGTTCTCATCTTTTTGACGAGATCGCGCAAAGGCAGAGCTTTGCAACGAGATCAGGTGGCACAACAGTGCCGCAACGTCAATAACATCGCATTGTTAATTTATTTTTTCATCGCGCGTTGCTCGAAATAATGATTATTGAATAATATTTGCACCTGAAAATGCAAAATTTAATTTCTCTTATTTATTCTTCCATCGCGTGCGTAATTATGTTTATTGAATAACATTTCACCTAAAAATGCAAAATTTTATTTTCTTTTTAATTTACACTTTTATCGCGCGTTACACGGAGTTATGTTTATTGAGTGGCACATGTTTAAACCTGTAAATTTATAAAATTTCACAGCGAACACAATATCAGTGCGCTCGCAAAGGAGACAACTCTCGTATCGCATGAATTTGTAGCGATACATTGCTTCGCCATACTTTGGTGAATTCGGTCAAATGAAATCCTATGTTTGCGCGAGAAACGTGAATGTATACGAAAATGACCGGTAACAGAATAAATACACGATAATCGGAAAGTGAATGTGTGTGTAAGAAAATGGAAGTTTACGTTTGTCGAAACGGAAGTTTCATCGCGAAATCTGTAAATACAAGCGAACTTTGCGCGAATTCGCGTACTACTCCAAAAAATTCCCGATTGTCACGATTTTCGCGAGTACTTCTACTGGAAATATCTAGAACTATTAGAAAGATTTTAACAAGAGCAAGTAACAAAAACAAATAAAAAGTCGGTTCGATCGCAGCAAAGCTGCATAAATTTCACATCGCGATTAGAAGGCCACTAGCGTTTTGTTCGTCACGTAATGACGACAGACCGATTCCGAAAGAGAACTCGGAATAGTCGGCTAAACCCGCGGATGAAATGGCGATCGGAAGCTCACGATCGCACCCGGAAACTTGTGTTTCCAATGGGAATTGTGTAAACAATTCTCCATATCTCTTCTGGTACGTACACGCAACACAACATGCAAAAATCTATGATCAAAATAAATCGCAATCTAAATTGAAGATGTAGAGGACTTCTAAAACTGTGCAATTTTTTACTTTTCTTCAAAGAATAAATTTTTTACTGCGTTATACAATCGCGACTTTCGATACTTTTGACTGTAGAGAGAAGCGGGGCAACTATTTGTAAAAAGTCAATACGTATATTCTCTTTTATACAACTCTTTTTTGTACTTTTGGTAAAAACATCCTAAATATTATTAAAATAGTCGAAATTGTATTTCCAAGATCTAAAACTTGAAGAAAATGAGAAATGTTTTTAAACATTTAAACTTTCAAATCTTCTTAACACGTCAATGTGTTAAGCAAGAACGAAATTATTTATGCGTACTTCCTTCCCACGTTTGCTCTAATAGGTCCTCTATATTTTCAATTTTGATTGTACAAAGTAAATCACATTGATTTCTATAAATTCACGGAAACGGAACCATCACCTTCAATTTTCCCTTTTGTCACTCACCGAAGCAACGCGAACTCAGAGCCGGCCACGTTCTGCATTCAAGTCTGGAACAAAAAGATACAATTTTGCGATTAGATTCTGAAATGGAGAATTTTCAATGTGTAAGACAGAGAAAAATAGGCAATTTTTACGAATATTTCCAAGAAAAATAGAAGAATTCTTTCAACTGAATTTTTTTGTACTTATTGTGTTGGATTTGAACAAATATATACAAATTTTTGGATCATTGAGGGGGATTAATAATAATAATAAAAACGTAACTGTATCACATTGACATGTTCGGAGGAAAATAGGGATTGTCTGTTATTTTTTCCTTGTAACCTTACCTTATAATTTCTATATAATTTCTGAAACGCATACGCCTTGTTCAGTGCGAGAATGCTCCCATCGGGAAACAAATTCTCCCATTGCACAAGACAATGCACTCCGAGGCCCACACAAAAAATAGCGGACAAGCTATCTGGTCACGAGTATACAATCGCGACTTTCGATACTTTTGACTGTAGAAAGAGGCGGGGCAACTATTTGTAAAAAGTCAACACGTATATTCTTTTTTATACAATTATACTTTTGGTAAAAATATCCTAAATATTATTAAAATAGTTGAAATTGTGCTTCCAAGATTTAAAACTTGAAGAAAATGCGTGAGAAATGTTTTTAAAAATTTAAAGTTTCAAATCTTCTTAACATGTCAATGTGTTGAGCAAGAACGAGTAGATTAACCTTTTATGATCATAATTAAGATCATTCGAATGACTGCATTCTAGTGTTCGATCGTAAGAGGCTAAGCGGATAAGTGTAGAAAATCTGTAAACCTACCTTCGAGCCGACCCTGCTTGGCCCGAACCGGATCCTCCGGTGCTGCACAAACATTCACTGGAATCGCGTCCTCTACAACTGCGTCTACCATTGATCCATCAGATCTGTAATCAAAAATAATTTTCCTGGTTAGTTAAAACAACAAAGAATTGTCATTCCCAATTTTTAAAATTAACTAGAAACAGCGAATTATGGAAATATAGGAGTGTAATAATTGCAAAGATTATATTTTTAGAAATAGAGGAGAATAATTTGAAATTTGAAGACGCAAAAAGAAAATATGCGCTATGACTACATTTCTTTTTTAACCCTTAAGCGTCTCAATAGTTCGTGTGCAATATCTTTTAACAAAAATATTCGTTAAAGTACTGAAATTAGCAATTGCAAGTAAACACTTTATTGAAGTATCATCTGCTCTTTATCATATACTACTTCTTATCCAATAAAAACAAAATGGGGAGGACTCCATGCCGTAATTAACGTTGATAAAAATAACTAAGAGGGTTAAATAGCTGTTAATAAAAATAACTAAGAGGGTTAAATAGTCGCCATTTCATTTTAAAACTTGCTGTAATCACCCTTTAAATATCTGAACGTATGCCACACTCTCTGCTCGCGATGATCCCCCGACGAAATAATCACACACGCGTAAAATATCGTAATCTGTTTCACGGAGTGAGGTTGATTTCACGTTCCGATTGATCGGAAAAATTTCGAATAGCACGCGACGTATTCACTACGCGCCGCACACCGTTATGATCGGAATTGAGTTGCGCGTACCTACATATATGTGTCTGTATTGTTCTGACCGCGTCAAGGTTGTGTGTTCTCCCGATTGTCGGTTAGGCATGAGCAGCCGTTGTATCATTTGTTTTTACTATCTAACGTCCCTGTTGTTATGATATGAACTTTTTGCGGTCTGGCCTGTCATGCCGGGTAATATACACGATATTACAGCGCTACGACAACAAAAGCTTATACTATATTTTGATGATATTTGATTTTTTTTAGTAATCTAATTTTATAGTATTTCTAGTTTTTATAATATTTTATAACTAATAGCATATTTATTTAAATCTAAATTCTTTTATTTAAATAGAGTAAATAATTGCTTAAAATGTATATTTTCTTATTTGAAAAGTATTTTATATTAGTACAAATAAATATACTGTCAGTACTCACCAAACGAATATTCATTATTTCTTAGATATTTTTTTAAATATTTTTTCTCTTAATGAGTGTTGCACATACAGCATCTACACGCGTTTCAGCGTGGCCTATCGCGACTGTTGAAATTTAACACACATAACTGAAACTTAATAATTGCAATTTCACGTTTTGTTTAGTAATGTGGAACCACAAAACACAAATGAAAATACAAATATCACAAAAGTCTGCAAAAGTTATTAAGTATTGTTCAAACAAAGAGGGGTATCGAATTACCAGAGATATTCCAAATGATATTTTCAATCGGAAACGAAAATTGATCTGCACCAAAGGAAGATATGAAATTTAATATGGGAAGTATTTTGTCGAAAATTTAATTTCCCGCAGTCGTCCGGGAATTAATGGTCGGTGATTTAGTCCGAGAAAATTCGATAGCTTGAAAGTATCAGTTAATCGTTAAAAATAGTCCGCGCGGGATGCAAATTCCAATTTGCAATCGGTTTTGTCGGGAACGCGGCTTCCAATGCGAGTCAAATTTATTCTATGTTTTTGGCTTGTCTTTCCATGTGGAACAATTCCCTCTCGGGTTGTCCTACGTACGTAAGAACGCCTCTCGTTGTCGCAAAGATCAACATAAAATCGTCGCAGGACTCGCGTCGAACGATCGACATCCGCTTCCGCCCTGCGGCTCGAATTTTCATTGATTTTTCCGACATCAATCCTCTCCTTCCTCGTCGCTCTTCGCCGACGACGGGGCTTGCACTTAATTGCTACGTTCGATTAAATTAATCCTATTTAAAGGGGACGCGAGAGAACGGTGCACGGAGGGCGCGATTACAAAGTCGAGCGAATAACTATAACTCCTCCTCGTCGTCGTCGTCGTCGTCGTCGTCGTTGTCGGAAAACTCGTCGGCTATGGCTGGGGCATTAATTGGCTCCTTTTATCGCGACTTTACGCTAATCGAGAGAAGGAGAGAGAATGTAGCTGCGCCACCGTTATCGGCGTCGTTGGAGTGACGCGCGTAAATTCGCATTGATTAAAATTCCGAATACAGTCGGCTAATTTCGATGATAAAGGACGTTAAATAACAGGGTATTCATAAGTGCCCCGCTGATGGACTTTAATTAGCGGGCGTTTCGGCGCGCGCACGAGAGAGAGAAAGAGAGATCGGCTAATTAATCGCCCGGTATAATCGAATTCGTGTTTTATTTGGTGTCACGCTCTCGACGGATTTTATCAGTGGTATAACAACAAAACTCGTTGGTGTGGCACGAGAGATCGGTAGTCGCAGTCGACGCCAACTCTAAATTATATATTTATTTTTTTATAAATAGTAGTGTGCAAGCGAACGCGTCAAAATCAGTTCGTTGACGGAGACGGATCCAGACACGAGAGAAACGCAGAAAAAGACAGAGAGAGAGAGAGAGAGAGAGAGAGAGAGAGAGAGAGAGAGAGAGAGAGAAATCTCGTTACAATACTGCATCGTCACTCCGCCGTGTCATTTCTCATCCCCGTTATCTCGCGCAACTCTCTTGGAGAAATCATCCCTTCGTCACAAGACGAGGAAACAAAAGGTGGCGACAGAGAGAGGGACTGAGGACTGACTGAGAACTTACTGAGGACTGATTGAAGACTGACTGAGAACTGACTGAAGACTAACTGAGGATTAACTGAGGTCTAAGAGAAAGAGAGAGAGGGAGAGAGAGTTGGTTAATAAGTTGCGCTGATTTCAAGATAAACTAATGGAGGAAATTGGAGAGTCCTACTCTGTCGAACACCCTGTATATCAACTGTCAACGATGACTAATCGAGGCGTCACGTGCGTCACTCCGTTTATCTATAGAACGCGAGAAGTGCGATCGACTTCGAACGCCCCGATCGACTTCGCCCCATTTTACGGACGCTTATCGATCCACAGCGCTGGCCGGCGTCGTTTACGGCGTTTGCCGTTAAACTCGACTGACCTTTCCCTCGTCCGAGAGCGGTCTATCGACTGTTAAATTCCTTCTGCACGCTATAAATAATTAATTCGTGCTACAAAGGACCCACCTCGTCTCTCCTGTTCTCTCTCTTTCTTCTTTCCTTCCCGCGAGATCGTCTTCCAGATCGTCCGAAATAACGCGCGAACTCGAAGTCTTGCGGTGGTTGTGAATGAAAGAAAGAGCAGAGAAGCGAGATCCGCGCTTCTTCAAGACAGCCGCCCTTTCCGAGATGATTTTGCACGGGAAAGAAAAACACTTCAACGCGAGAAAAGTGAATTCCATTAGAGCGAATAAATTCGGTTATCGGTGTCGCATTTGCGCGGCAAGCGCCGGCAGCGCAGTGGCGAATTTCATCTGCAGGCTTTCGACGAAATCACCTATTTTTTATTAAGCTCTCTTCCCTCGCGCTATAATCTCTGCCGAAGTGGTGCCCAATTTCGCATCGACGCCGCCCGAATTTTCACACCGACACAAAAATCGGGCTTGCCGTGTCGACGCGTCGCGTCGCGTCGTGACGCACGTTGTCACGGCGCGTCACGCAGCGGCGCGTTCCCGATGTTTTGTCAGCTCGTCACGCCGGCGAGAAAAATCTTCCGTCAAATATCATTTTCGCGACGCCGCGCGCGAGCACGACGCGACGATCGCGTCGATTCTGGAGGATCGACAGAGCGCGATCCGCGAACTTCGCCTCGCCTCGCGATTAATTTCCAGACGTATGTAATGTCTAGTACATCATTTCTTTTCGCATTTGTATTTTCAGGCCTCAAGTACCTTCACTCGGCCCGAATTCTCCACAGGGACATCAAGCCGGGGAACCTCCTAGTGAATAGCAATTGTATATTAAAAGTGAGTACACACTGATCTCTAGATATCGCCGAATTCGCACGTTTCCAATCACCCCGCAGTGTTCCGTGTCGCGTGAAAAAGAGAGTTAACAACAGCCTCTTGGCCATTGTTCCCGAGGTGACGCTCGCAGACATGCAGAATACACTGAGCATTCGCAAGATCGAAGGACAGAGATATGTTAATCGAAACGCTTTCTCTGTCACACAGTACTTTAGGAGGGAAAACAGCAGAGTGAACACACATAGCAAAGGAGAGAGAAAAATAATGTGCATTTTTTTCATTGTGCGAAAAGACACACAAACGATACGTGTGTGCGCACGCTCACATAATATATCCTCAAAGGATGTACATCGTGTTCTTCTTTGCCTTCTCTCTTTCTGTTCTGCAAATGTAGCGACATCCAACCACTTTTATACATAGAGATTTTATATTTCTAACATTTTCAATGGAATTCTAATAATATAACTACACTACAAGATACAATGAGTCACGTGGATTAATTAACTTAATAACCACGTGATCGTTTCTTTTCTTTCCTCTTCCCCATTAACTACACATTAGACGAGGAAAACATCTCTTTATTGCCCTATCTTACTAATGCCGACTTCGGCTCTCCCATGGGAATGCTCAGTCTATTTTGCACGTCTATAGTGACAATTCTAAAATTCGTATCGCGAGATTCAGCCGAAACACTCGAAGCACGAGGTGTCTCGGTACACCTCGAGTCACGCCAAGTGCACAACGAGGTATTTTCACTGCCTAGATCTGTGATTTCGGATTGGCCCGGGTGGCGGAGCCCGATCAGAACGTGCACATGACCCAGGAAGTGGTGACACAGTATTATCGCGCGCCGGAAATCCTGATGGGCGCGCGGCACTACACCGCCGCGGTGGACGTGTGGAGCGTCGGTTGCATTTTCGGCGAGCTTCTTCGCCGGCGAATCCTCTTCCAGGCCCAGAGCCCCGTGCAACAGGTGAGAAGCCCCAAAAATTCGCCGGCTTTTGATCGCGAAACGATCGCACAGTTCAAATTGTGTTAAATATACGCGCAGAAAACAATTCTGTTGGTGCAACCGAATTTTCGGTTGCTCAGGGATCAGGCGAAAACTCGGCTGTAGGAACAGAAAAATTCCTTTATAAGGCTTCTGTATAGTCAATTGTTCTCAGTTGCCTCAACCGAGCTCTAATATCGTTAAATGTTCAGACGAATATTTTCGATTGCGACAACAGAAATATTAGTTCTTATAACAGATATCGCTTCTGATCACCTAATTTTCAGATGGTTCCTATTCGGTTGCACCAACTGAAATTTTTTTTGCGTGTACGATTAAACGCAAAAAACGTTTTTCTGCCTAATTGTAGCTCGAGCTGATCACGGAACTGCTGGGTTCGCCCAGCCTCGAGGAGATGAGGTACGCGTGCGAGGGCGCGAAAACGCACATGCTGAGAAGGGCGCAGAAACCACCCTCGCTCACGTCACTGTACAATCTCAGCAACCAGGCGACGCACGAGGCCGTCCATTTGCTCTGCCAGATGCTAGTCTTCGATCCCGTAAGTTTGCCAACCCCTTTTCCTTCCGCCTCTCTCAACGGCCTTCTTGAGTTCATTCGTTCGCGAAAACGCACACGACTATGAGCGAAAATGTTGCAAGGCAATTCCCGCGAGTGTACACGTTAGAGCATACACGTGCACACGTATATGCGATATGTCTGTCGCGCAGGACAAGAGGATCACCGTGGTGGACGCCCTGGCGCATCCTTATCTGGACGAGGGCCGACTGCGGTATCATTCGTGCATGTGCACGTGCTGTTACACGACAAGCGCCGGGATGCGGCAATACAGGGTGGACTTCGAGCCCTCGGCGACCCATCCCTTCGACGATCTCTGGGAGCGAAAGCTCACGAGCGTGCAGCAGGTGAAAGGTGAGAGGATCATCACCCCCGGGATTTCGCCGCGTCGGGAAATCTGACGCGGACGAACGTCGCGCGACTGCGCCATATTTCGTACGGTTTCACTACGGCAGAGTGTTATTCGTTCACGCGGCCACCGGGAAGAGCGGGCAGGGAGAGTGCAAATTTATGATTTTCATTATTTCCGTCTCTCCACTCCTCCCGGATGATGAATCAGATTCTGCGCCGGCGGGTTTGTGCGTTTCTACGCGGAAGGCCCGATTGATAGTCGGAGATTCGCACTTAACGGTACAAATTGCGAGGTAAATCCGCAATGTATCGTCCGTGGAACGTCTCGCGTATCGAGAATAGTGACGTGCAGTAAGTATCTCAGGCACGTGGCTGGCGCTATTCGAGAACAATAACCGCGATAAACGCTCCCGCGTGTGTGTGCACGCGTGTATGTGCGCTCGTCGCGATAAATCATAGTTTATCTCCGCAGTCTGGCCGGAGAACCGTGAAGTTCTCTCTCGTGTGTCTTTCCTCGCAGTAACCGTGGATTCCGCGACTGACATGAAAAAATATCCTGCTGTCGTCAGTAATCTCGTAACTCATTTTTGCCGGACGCAGAATTACATTGAAATTTCGAGCGAGCCGGGCGAGACGTCGTGTACGACTGGAGGAGCGCGATTCGCGAATGAATTTAATTATCTGCGCGGCCAGAAAAAATACGCTCCGCGTAAGAATGCGGAAAATTTTGTAAAATTCAGAGAGCCAAAATCCGGAGAAACATAAAGAGTTCTTTTTTTATCTGGAGCGGTATTTTTTCTCTGCAAGGTGGTTTCACTTTGATACAGAGATAATGATGGCAACAGTCACGGAGCATTAATAAATTTCTGAAAGTAACGATCGCGTGCAACGTTCACGCGAGATGACACGAAGAACATTTAGCGGTGCATTTAACGCGCTGACCGCGTGATGAGAATATGAACTATCGCGTTCATTATTTATGGTGTCATTAATTCGACCACGGGAAATTCTATCGTCACTGTCATCAACTCACTCGCCAAGCCTTTTTACTTCCTCCCCCCTCTCTCCCTCCCCCCTCTCTCTCTCTGTCTCTCTGTCCCTCTGTCTGTTTCTGTTTCTCTGTCTCTATTTCTGTCTCTGTTCTGTCTTCCCCTTTCCGTCCCTACTCTCTCACTCTATCATATGATAGAACGATCCACATCGTTGTGTTTCTGTTTCAGAGGAGATGCACAAATTTATAGCAGAGCAACTGAACCCGTCGCGAGTGCCGCTCTGCATAAATCCGCAATCTGCAGCGTTCAAGAGCTTCGCGAGGTAAGCCGCATGTGCCGAGTCTACAAATCCTCCCTTTGATTCGATCGATGACACGCGATGTCCCAAAACTACCGGAGATACCCGAGGTCGAAAACTGTAACGAGCAAGCCCGTTTGTTCAAATTATTTGAGACACCAGTCGTTCCTGAGAATTGTCGGGCGAGGATTTAGAAATTTGCTTTGCGGGAATCGAGCTGGATAGTGCAAATCGTTCGATGAATGAAATCTCGTTTCTCTTAACTTTGAACGGACTTTAAGCTTAGCAGAGTGACGATTTACGCGTTGGTCGCGAACATATTCGAGAAGATTGGCGAAAAGGAAGATGCCGATTCTCTACTATTATTGACCCTGATTAAAGCATTTCCAGCTGTAAGAAGCGGCGATAGTTCTGGGACATCCGGTACAGCACGACCTGACCCACGAAAGTCCCGAGTCGCATACAGAAAAGTCACCAGAGCCAATCGACAAGGAGCAAAACCCCGACAAAACTCTAAAAAGAGTAATATATTCGCGCCCATCTCCCCCTCCCCCCGCCCTGCCTCTTCGTTTCCCCTCGAAGCTAATCGATTATTTTTCCCTCTCCGGATCCGTGCATCCTCCGAGCCGTAATCCCGGATCCCCGATCAAAAGACAGACAGAATAATAATCTCCAAGAGAGTTCATAGAGAGGCGCACAGTGTTTTTGAGCGGTCGAGTAGAGAACAAGCGGGATATATATCGGGTGTTCGGAGAGAGTAGCGCTGACTTTGAGCCAGCTGAGTCTTTCGACGCGCGTAACGCAAACTTCCAAATTGAAATTAAGAGAAGAAAGTAAAGAAAGAAGAAAGAGGGGCCTTTTGTCCTCTGGCGATCCTCTTACTAATGTCCTCCAAAGACGCGATTTTATCTCCAATTACCATTGCTTCTCAGAAGAAAAGAATATCGAGAAACAGAGATGCACGAGAGTGCATCCTGCCCTGTCGGCCCATTGTGACAATCGCTGTGTGCGATCTCTCGAGACACACGTTGTTTACTACGTATGCACTACTCAACAAGATCTGATTTCCTTTGTAGAAGTACGGTGACCGATTATTTCAAGCCCGATTCCTCTCATTGAAAAGTGCCAGGCGAAAGAGACGCCGGCGCGTCTAGATTTTTTCAGCGCGCAAACCAGTCTTGCGAGTAGCAGAGAGAGAGAGAGAGAGAGAGAGAGAGAGAAAGAGAGAGATTACTCGTGAATGTATCTCACGAGACACGATGACCAAAGTCTGAGATACGCGTATGCGACTCCGTAAACTACCGTGTAAATAAACGCAAACGCCGAATATAAAGTCTTTTCCAATCGTTGCCCAAAGTGCCCAGCGAAACGATCTCGAGGACGTGCGCGCGCTCGCGTCGTCGTCGTCGTCGTCGTCGCGACTTCTACAAAACGCGTGTGTTGTTGAGTAGTGCGTCACTTGAAAGTGATATGTTGGATGTGTAACAATTGTTCGTCTTACTTACTGCCGTCAAGTTAGAGCAAGCCGATCGCCGAACCAGCGGCCTGTGCCGCGTATACGTACACGTTACTACTTCTACTACTACTACCACTACCACTACCGACTCAGCTATCTACCACTGTCAGCTACTATCGACTACTACCGCTATCGTCTACTACTACTACTACTACCGCTACTACCACTACTACTACTACTACTACCAATCGTGTTACGCCTCCTCCTGAACGAACCGAACGAACCGAGAGTCAGCTATAGTCGGCGCGACCTCGCTCGCAGAGGTACATGATCCAGCCTATCTTTTATAATAGCAATTATTGCGTTGTCTGTGTTATATACTGTCTCGTTTTGGGTGCTCTTCTCTGTTTGGCCTCACGTTTTACCGTACATGTGCGTACTACGCCTCTTGCGTTCCGCCGGACGCTGTTTGCGCTTCGCGTACAGAGCACAGGGCGCGGCCTCGTCCCTGTCCTTAGAGTCCTCCCAAGGTCCTCCGCGTGCAAGTAGACGGCGGCACTGAATCGAGAAAGGGCAATTTGCCGGTCTATTTGTACGCGTCGGAAAGTTACGGGGAATGGACGGCGATACCGAGACGTCTGCTCTCTGTACAACGTCGCGTCCGGATCGGTTGTGTCGTATTTCGTGGCAAGGCGAGCCGATCGCGCTTCAACGGGGTGACACTTACTCAGCACCGAGTGCGATTATCGCGTGTGAAACACCAAGTAGAGGGAAATCGTAGCGCGCGAGCCGTTTGTAATCATGTCTACTCATGATGCTCGATTCCTCGAAGATCCGCGAGACGAGAGACTAGTATTGCACCGAGTGGAAAGTGAGAGAAAATTCCGTCTTGTGAAAAAATTTGGTTTGCCCATTCGGCCGATTGCCGCGCGGATTTAGGCGACGACGCGATTTCCTCGAGTGACGACGACAGATTAGCGTCAACGGCGCTAATTAGCGGCAGTTTCGCGTACGCGCAATTAACGGGCCCTTTAAACATCCGCGCGACCTATATATATATGTGTGTGTATATATATATATATACATATATGTGTGTAGATATATATACACCCGGTGGTCTCGGCAGAATACCGTTCCTTTGTCCGACGAATGCTTCCGTTCTCTCTCTCTCTGTTGCTCTGCCGGACGAGAGCGTCGCTGAAGCGAGAAATCGCATCGCTGTCCCACTTTCGCAGACTCTAAGGCGAGTCCGAGGAAATCTAATTAAAAAGAGAGGACAATTACGATCTTCGAGGAACGTCCGACGATTACGACCCACTCCTTCGCCTCTCACTCTCTTCGCTTTTTAGAATAACCACAAAAGTTTGTTGTACATACTGCGTTAACACATGCAGCGATAACAGATGTGGCAAATGGCGAATAATAATTGTGTGTTATTTTAGTTCTCAAGTTCCGGCTTTAAAAACAACCAAGTACACGAAGTGATACATATTTGTAAGTAACAACAATATAGTAGAGAATATTAATCTTAAAGAGAATTTTTGTATGAGGATTGTGTTTAGATATAAACAAATACACACATATGTATATATAAATATATAAATATAAATATGTATATATATATATATATATATATATATACATATATATACACACACGGAGTGTCCCCCAGCTTGATTTTATAATCTCTTGAGGTGAACACAAAATTCTTATATCGTTTTGCAAAATTCGTAATAACTATTGAGATATTAATTAAAGATTTGTAAATAATGACGCTCGATATGCCAGATGATGATCATATTCTTGTAGGATGTCATTAGGTCAAACTAAACAAAACATTCCTCTACCATTTTGCAGATGACCACGTAGATTTTTAGTTATTAATTAAAAAAGACTGGTGCATTAGACTTCTGGTAGAGAACTTTTTGCTCAATTTGACCTAATGTACAAACATACGACAACAATTCATCACCATATCATACGTGATCATTCACAAATCTTCTACAATTAATATCTTGATTATTGCAATTTTCGCAAAACGTTTTGGACATCTTTGTTCATCTCAATTTGTCTCTACGTCCTCACGAGAGATTGTGACATCGAGCTGGAATACTCTATATGTATATATGTACACATGTATGTATATATATATATATATATGTACATATGTGTGTGTGTGTGTATATATATGGATCGATTTTTCTTAAATATGCGATTTGAGGAGAGGATTCTGCGCAGTTCTCTTCAAGAAATGAGTTCAAGGAGAATAAAAAACGGAATATCGCGGATTCGTCCTGCTGTCACCCCGATTTGGCGCGACGCAACTCGCCGCGTCCACATCCGCGTGATATCGCGGAAATTTTCGCTGCTCGCGCGTTGAAATATGACGTTATCAGAGAACGGAGAAAACGCCCGAACCGAACGCACTGTTCTACCAGCCTTATGAGCGTAAAAGAAGGCCTGATCCACCATGCAGCCTTCAGTTGAGAGAAACTTCGTCGATGAGAATAAGGAGCATCTCGCGACGCGCCAAAAGATAAATTAATGAGAAAGAAAGAATAAAATCTCACAAGTAGAATGCAAACTCTCTTTCGCGAAAATCTGCATAAATCGAGAAGAAGTTCTCCAATCTCCTTCGACCCTCCACTCCTCCCTCCCCCGCCCGTCCCTAGATCCTCGTTATAGTTCGCACAATCCGATGATAAAATCCGGTGGAAACATCCTATAGATCAGAGACCACCCATCCATCCGCCTTTATAGATAGATCGATGTCGAATCGCCAGAATTCAGAGTAAAGTCCTATCGAGATCCTGACAGCGTGGATGCTGTAGTTGGGTGGATCTTTTTGCCGTTTTCGCCGCGGATCCCAACGCGATCCTTCTGCGAACGGGAGCGCAATGACTGTAATATCAAGCGCGCGTTTTCCTTCCGGGTCAGTCGAGTCTGATTCACAGACACGCCTATCGATCGGACTTGGAGAATTGAGCGAGATCCAGATCGGATTTCAGCGAATTATCAAATTTGAATCCGTGAGCTTTCCTCGAGCAATTAAGAAGTTCCCGAGCCGGTGAGTCCTTCGAGTGTGTACATTAAGTTTCGGCTCGCGGTTGATCTAAGTGTGTCTCTGTTTCGGTCCCCCCGAGACCCCCCGCATATTTGTTGTCACTAATAACGAGGTTTCCTAGCAAATTCTGAGGTCTTATTTAACTTTGCGTGAAGTTAGCGCGTGACGTAGCTTATGCCGGTTCTCGCTTATTTAATAAAGTTCGAAGCCCGGTCTCTCTCTTCTCTTTGAACGGAGCTATACTCGCTGAAATAATCCTCGTGTATTACATCAGCAGATACTAATCCAGCGCTGTCTATCGAGATATCCCCGTGACACGTGTGAAAGTGAGTAATGTCGGAAGGATTATTTCTCGGGACGTAACGCGCTGCATTCACGTCCTCGTGCCTGCCGCTTTTAGAGCGTTGGAAGTTGCATTCGTAAATTTCTGTCTCTTGGGCGCGGCAATTGAATGCAAATTACGATCGCACTTGTCGCGGTTGTTCCCTCGCGCTTTCAGCAAACGCGCGAGATATTACTGTCATTTCGCCACGTCCGAGTCACGAGTCCCTGTCTTGGCGAGAATCTTACAATTCGTCGGATTTGCTTTGCCAAGCGAGCGCTAATCAACTTGACTCGCTGTTCGAACAAATTGTCGCAGAACTGTACGATGAATTTCCCTGATAAAACGCGATTTGTTTCCTTATCTTTAAGGAATGTTGCGGTTTCATACGTTCGAACAGTCTCATGACAAATCCGTCTTCATAAAGAAGAATCTATCTCGAAATGTCACATCGTGTTTCTGAGGTACACTCCGCACTCGTCGCGGAGATTTGAGAGAAGGAAAACCCGTCAGAGATATAAAGTAGATATAAAATATCATGTAATCAACAGGTTATAAATTTGGAAGCTGAGAAAAATCATCTCGAGGGCATTAAAACGTCGCATCCGGCGCGACGAAGCGCCATCACTTTTCTTACGTCGCCTTTAAGTAAACCATCTCTCGCGCGGGCGGGCGGAGAGGGGCAATTTCGTGCGGAAAATAATAATACGGACAAAGGGGAGAAATGCCCTACGCTTTTTCCCGCCGCGCGTAGCTTAATCTCGCTCTTATCGAGGACTTGGCAAGGCAAAGCCGCGACGTTCATATACTATGACGGTCGAAACTTTGCGACATTAATTTTCCAACAAGTCTCTGACACGAGGGTCATTTGGGAAGTATGTGTGGCCTGATACAGAGGCAGCGCTAATTTAGCTAGATCTTTGTCATCGTATTTCAAAGCCTTCCTTTTTATCAAGTTAAGTATGACGATGATTTGTCGATCGATCTTTGTCTGACAGTCTTTTTGACAATGCGCCAAAGTAAACGCCGCGAATGTCTCTGTGCGTTCATTGTTTTGACTGTTCCCCTATTTTTAGAATAAAGTAATAGACCCAGGTTTCATTGACGGTCATAAATCGATGCTAAAAATCTTTCAGATTTTCGCGCGACATCACGCCAAGAAGTACGAAAAATAGTGAGACTGTTTAGTTCGGTCTTTGCTGGCGCAAGTGAAGCTGACTGTTTAGTTCGGTCTTTGCTGACTGAACGCAAATTTTTTGCACATTGTCCTTTGGTGCATTGTCAAACAAGGATTGATCGACAGATCGCTCTGTATTGTCATACTTAATCTAACAAAAAAAAGGCTCTGAAATACGATAATAAGGATTTAGACAAATTCACGCTATCTCTGTGTCAATCCGAGTTGAAATTTTGGCCTTATGTTAAACTTTGAATTCTACAACGCAGTAGAAGCTAAGTTAACAAAAGGTTTAATTCTAATGATACAATTTACTCCTACTTTGACTCTGATGATGTTCGAAATTTCTCTTTTTACTTTCTTTAACGTTAAAATAGATGTTGAATAGAATAGTAAAGCTGAAAGTAAGAGCAAAATTTTGTCTCGAGAAGACACGTACTTTTCGAACGACCTACGTGCAAAGTCAGTCAAGAGTGACGCGAAAATCAAAGGAGACTCTTTGAGGAATTATAGATATCGTGAGCTTTCGACAGTCACTGTATACACATCAAGCTCGCTGAGCGTAACAGGGATGAACATCGGAAGGAACGTGTAGGCGATTGCGCGAATAGAGGACGAAGAAAAGTCAAGTCTGTATTAATAGTTATTACTTGAAATGTGTCCCGCGTGAGATACACAAATTTGAATTCAGAGTCAGATCTAAAAGACGATGAATGAAATAAATTTTGATCTAAAAAGTATAATGTAATTTTACGCATCGTCCTTTTTCTGGCAAACCGTATGATGCATTTGACGTTACATTTGCAATCGCTATTCCACTGAAAAATCACATCTGACTCTAAACACAAACCTGAAAGTCTCACTTAAAACGAGTTTCAAGCGACAGCTATTAATATGGGCTTCAGAGTTGGGCAAGGTGTAATCGGATTAATGATCAGCGATTGATGATTAACAGTTATGATTATCGGGTAATCAGTAATCACAGACGATTGATGAACGGTAAAAGAACAATCGAGGTCAAAATACTCATCAGTCACGATGAGATTGTCGATCATTAGTCAGAAAGTGACGAAATACTTTTCACTACGTGCGATTTTGATTCTTCCAATTAACATATCGCGACTCGACATAGAGACTCGTAATGTGACGTTCCGTTTTACGGCAAGCAATTAACGGATGAGGATCAGCTGTAACAGATTTGCTAGTGTGATTCACGACCGATGATCGACTACAGCCGTTTAGCTAGTGTTGCTTTAATCGGGATTACATGATTAATCGATGGCTAAAATGATTGCGAAAATAATTCATTATTGCCCAACACTGGAGGGAGCGCAGGAAAATAAGGGATATAGGTACAAAGTTTACGAGGAGGGGAAAAGCAGATTAATTGGAAACAGAATAATGCCTAAGAAGAGAGAGAGAGAGAGAGAGAGAGAGAGAGAGAGAGAGAGAGAGAGAGAGAGAGAGAGAGA